TAATAACAAACTACCCAGCAAGGTAGGCCCTCCTTTCCACCTTCAAAAGGATGGAGGGGAGGAAGAACTTGTCTGTGGTTGAGCACAAGACTATGAATCAGAGAACCAGAGTCCATATCCCAGCTCTGCCAGGGAGCAGGTCCCTGGATTTCAATACACCCCAATGACCACAGGCAACTGTCCCATAAAAGCATCCCCTGATTTCAACTGCAATCACAGCGCTCAGCATCTTTGGGAAAAGCCAGTCTGTGTCTGTAAGACAGGGCTAAAACACCTCCCCAACCTTCCAGAGGCACAGGGATGCTAAAACCCATTAGCAAAAGTGCCTTCAGACGTGTGGGTGGAAAGCACCAAACAAGGTCAGAGTGTTATTAATGGCACTGAAAAAAAACGAGCCACCAGAGATTCCGGATCTCAGGTGCAGTTTGCCCACTTTATTTTCTCACATCATGTGTCTACAGGACATCATCAGCTGGGAGGACCTGAGATAACCCACCCTGTTACCTCAAAGCGACCGCTGAAAATCCCACGTAAACTAAAAAATTAAAGTTTCCTCGGACGGGGACTGTCAGATATGAACAGAGCAGGGAGATGAGTTGGGCAAGGAGGTCCCGAGGGAGGGGAACCCTCTTGCAGGGCAGTAACACACAGGATCCTTCGCCTGGTTTTAGAAGGGGGGGGAATTTTTCAACAGACCCAGTTGGAAAGGCTTTCTAGGAAGCCTGTTAGAAAGAGATATTTATCCTTATTACATTCCCTGGTTGGTGTCAACCAAAGAAAACAAAGAACAGCAGCAAAGAACCAACAGTAAAACTGAAGCTGTGCTGAGTCCTGCTCAAGGACATCAGTGCCTGCTTGACTGCCTTAAATATTGTCAGGTCTCACAGCAGGAGCACCTTCACATCGATCTGATTAATGGTAATGACAGGTTGGATAAACAAATGACAGCCTGTCTTGCAAGGGTCAGCCTTTTGCTGGAATGAAGGTGCATGGCATATTTGGATATGGAGCAGATGCAGATCCTGCTCAGCCCTGCCAGCCCCTGCTCACACAAAACCTTTCAGCTTGGTTTCCAAAGGGACATGTTCTCTCCCAGCACTGAAAGCAGCTCAGGGCTTGAGAGCAGGAAGGGATTGGAGAGGAGCTCTCTGGAAGGAGAGCAGATCTGAGCCTGCATTCCCTCCCTGGCACCCAGGCTGTGTCACTGCAAGGACCAGGACATCACTTTGCTGATGGAAAAGCCATCAGGGATTCAGCAGCTTGTGCCTTTTCCTCCTCCAGCTGCAGATCAATGCTCATCCCTGTGTGCTACATCCCTCACACCAGGCACACAAGCCCTGGCATCTCCCAAAAACCATCAGCCCCAGCTCCGTGTGTGTATTCCAGAAGGCAGGAATATCCCAGGGATTAGCTCCAGACACCTGGCTCTCTAGAACAGCTCCCTTCAGAGCCAGCTACAAAAACAAAACATCCAGCATTTCCTAAAGGCTCAACGCTGAGGAGACCAGGAATTAAACCAAACCAGAGCTGGGGCGACCACAGCAGCACCTGGGGAGGATCACCACATTAGAGCCAGGGAAAGCTCCCATTTCCAACACTCCCAGCCCTTCTCCTGGTCCCCCTCGATGCCCTTCCCTGGCAAAACTCAAGCCCCGCTCGCAGAGTCACCCAGTTCAGTCCCTGCCACGCTCTGGCCACCATCCCAAACCATCAGGAGGCAGATGTCCCTCTCCACGCTGCCAGCACCGAAGGTGAAAGTTTATTACTGTCTCTTTGCATTTCCCTTGATATAAACAGGAAACAACCAGCATTAGACTCCCTGGCTGAAAAGCCAAACCAGATAGGCAAGGCAGAAGATGCTCTTTTTTCCATACACACCCTTTCCCCTCTCATTCACATACAAATTACTGTTGCATCCAGGTGGGAGGAGAGTTTTGAAGATGGGAGGGGAGGGGAGAGGAGGGGAGGAGGGGGGGGGAGAAACGTTTGCCAAATAGGTTGAGGGATCAGAAGGAGCTTTCTCATAAAGCACAGGGCTGACCCACAAACTGCAAGAAAACCTCAAACTCCGCAAAGAGTTTCCCTCCTCCCCGTTTGCAGGGTGAGAGCAGCCACAGCAGGGAACTGGTAGGCAAGGAAGGGGTCTAACCAGGTCACTCCACCCTTCTCTTCCCGCCTGGAGCGTAACATGGGAGGGAAGCAGACCTGAAATGTAGGCCATCTACAAAGGCTGGGGGAGAGGCTTAAACGATGTGAGATTTATGATCTTCAAAGTGATTAGCGCCCAGCGCTCCAAATAAAGTCAAAGGCAGCTCAGCAGCTCCTGCAGTCAGGTTGGAGTTGGGTTTCAAACCATCCTTCTCTGGCTTCAGGTTGAAAACTTGAATTGCAAGCTAACTTAAAAAAAAAAAAAAAAAAGCCACCCAAAGCCAACCTCAAACCCCAAACCAAATTAAAAAACCCACCAACCTCCACCCCTAATGAAAGAGCTCAGCACCCGATTTTACATGAAAACACTTTGATATTTCCATCTCTCTCCTCTCTTCCTTTTTTTTTCTCGTCATTTTGAAATCTACTTGCTGAATTGTGGATGAATTCACCAACAGCTGAGGTCAACCCGAAATGTGAGCGTGGAACCCGTGTGCATTCGGGCTCATGCTCATTTAAGGTAATAATTTAAAATAATAATAATAGTTGTTATTATTATTATTATTATTTTAAATAACAATCATTCAAAATAATAATTATTGTTTTAAATAATTTTAAATAAGTCTACACACGGCCTTGAGAGAGCCAAGAGAGGGAGACAAAGAGCCACTTGCACAGCCCTGTGTCCACTCCTGGACTGTTACACCCCCATCCCTGACATCACTGCAAAACCCCTTGGGCAGACACTGGGGCTTTGGACCAGATTAAAAATAAAATAAAACAATAAAATGAGCTTGTTCACAGCCTTTTGCTCTTCAAACCTTGTGAAATCCCCAGTCGGGTTTGCTACTCACTCGCAGGGAGGTGCTGGCACAAACGAACAAGATTTTGTGTCGCCCCTTTGTTTTAAGGAAAAAAAAACAAAACAAAACAAAACCAAAAAAACACACCAAACCAGCAGTGGGAAGTGGATGCTACAAAAACCCTTTGACAAAACAGATTTTGGCAAACAGAACCACAATTTCTTTTGAGGAGGAAGAAGTTTCTAAACCGAGCCAACTCTACTGACAGCACGCCTGCCTGCCCCCCCGCCAAAACTTCACCACCAGTGACATGAGGAGGACCAGGACCTTAAAAACAGGGGGTCAGATCACTTCTGATGCTCCACCACAGTCAATCAAGTCTCCTCGATTAACCCCAGCCCAGCTTCCAGCCCCAACAATCCTTGTGGTGTTGCCATAGGAAAAGTTTGCGCCGGGGGAACGATCTCGCGCTTATTTCTATCTGGAGGGAATTTTCTTTTATCGCTGCACTTATGAGCAGATTGGATTCTTCTCCTGGCGTGTGGAAAGCCCGTGCTCTGGGCTCTGCAATCCACAGAGCTGGAGACACAAGGCTTTTTTTGTTTTCAGCTGGGTATTCCAAAAACCTGGAAGATGGCTGAGCGTGTTAAGACACCTTTGATTGGGAAGTTACGACCCACCCAAAGCCGGAGCAGCCAAGGCAAACAAACAAACAGCAGCTCGCTGACATGTGTCAGGCAAGAGCCACCGGGGCAGAGCTTGCAGGACCGAAAAAAAGCCACCCTGAGAAGGTCCATCCCTTTGGAAAGGGATGCAAGCCTCGAGCTCAGGGAACGCAGAGCTGGGAGCAGGGAGGTTGCTGTGCTGCCAACATCTGCTGCGAGTGCTCGTGGCTGACCATGGAGCTACAGCCCCTTTTGCTCCCCTGGCACCAGCTCCCCATCCAACCCCCAGAGTCCTGCAGCAGCTCAGGGGGGCTTTTCAGGCTGATTTCCCTCTTTTGCTTCACAGGTTTTCAGCCCAGCCCTGGTGGCCACGGGAACCCTCAGCTCTGGACTCTGGGAGCGTTTTCATAGAACTCCAGAGTGGTTTGGGATGGAAGGAACTTTAAACATCAGATTGTTCCACCCTCCTGCCACAGGCAGGGACACCTTCCACTAGCCCAGGTCGCTCCAAACCCCGTCCAACCTGGCCTTGGACACTTCCAGGCATGGTGCAGCCACAGCTTCTCTGGGAAACCTGTGCCAGGGCCTCCCCACTTTCACATATATCTGCACAGATTCAAGAGCTGCCACCTTCTGAGGTGACACTCAGGGATTTCTTAGAGCCACCTATGAAAATCTCCAAGCACTCAGTGGGTTGTTTTTAGCAGAAAACCAACTGAGGGGTTGGTTTCTGAGCTGCACAAAGCAGGAGAAGAGCAAACACAGCAGAGACAACGGTCCCTCCTGCGCTCATTTGCAGCTGGGGCTCCCTTGCCCCTCGAGCAGCACTGCCTTTATCTGCTGTCCCTTTCCCCACTGCCCTGCAAAGGGGAATCTGGGGTAGGCAGGCCTGGTCTTGACCCACACACACACACACTCCAAGACCTCAAACCACCTCATCTTTAGTCCTTGCTGATACTCCTGTGAGTCAGCCCTGTACCTCTATCCTCGCATCCCACAGCGCTTTCATTGTCACAGTGCATGGGGCTCTGGGGAGGGATTTGCACGTTTGCCACTCTAACTGAGGTGCCTTTTGTTTCTAAGTGATAATAGAAAAAAAAAAAAATAAAAGGCCAGCAAAACCCTCGAGCAAGTGGTCATTTAAAGAAACTCTGTAATTAGCTGAACTTCTATGAAATAGGAAGAGGGAAACCAGAGGTGTAATCTGTCATTCTATCCCACAAGGGGAATTGGGAAGAAGTTCTGTGGTCTCTTTAATGGCAGCTTCTGCCCTAACAGTTTTTATCTCTCAGCAGGAGCTGCCTGGGACTCTGCATGATGAGCAATTAAAAAACAGTCATTCAAGAAAGCAGGAGAATACCTGGTAACCCAGGGAGAGTCTTACCTGCCTGTTAAAGTCCAGCCCATTCTGTTCATTGCCTACAAGGAAACAAACAGAGAAACATCTCAGTATTGGCGACAGTCAGCACTGATGGGAGACTTCCAGAACTCAGAACACGTGGACCCACTGCCATGGGGCTGGCTCAGCTCAGAGCAAGGAGAGGAGGAGGGAGGGGGAGTCACTGGGAACACAGCAGGGGAAGGATGAAATCAGCTTTTACAACATTCAATGGTATCAGCCTCTGCTGAAGGATAATAGAAGTGTTTCTTCCTGGGAGATACCTGGCCAAGCAGCAAAGGGTGGGGGAAATCTCCCTGACTGCAAGGGAGATTCCAGCAGGGGTGAGCGGGAGGACATCCCAGGTCTCCAGGCAAACCCAGGATTAAGGCACTGCACCCAAAGCCTGGACTAACTGTGGGAAAGGCCAGCAAACAGGTGGCCAGGGCTGTGAGCCTGGGATCTTCAGGAACCCGTGTGGCACTGGGTAATTATGGGATATCTGGAGGAACAGAGGGTGCCGTGGGGTTGTGCTCAAGAGGCGTCTCCTTGATTCCAGAAGAGATTGGCAGGCACAGGGGGAAAAATCAGACAGGTTTCAGCCTGAAGGTACCGCACAGGCCCTCACTCATTCCCCTTTGATGATAAACATCCCCCCCCCCCTCCATCACACCTGCCAAATTCATCAAGAACATCACAGAGGAAAGGTTGTACTCTCCACAGATATGAATGCTTTAAGGGATTCCACGAAGCTCTTCAGCTGCAAAGGCAACCCCAAGAAACCCCTTTCCCTTTGCAACGCATTCCCCAAGTCATTCTCTTCCACTCCAACCGAGTTTGTGATAAACAGCCTTAAATTGTTCACATCCCACCAACACAAGCCCTCGGGGGCCCCTCCTCCTGGTTTTTTTTTTTCCAGTATAACGTTCCCCAGAAAGCAGAGCCCGTGCCCTGTGATCTGATCAAGCTTCAACACATCGTGTTTCTCAGCACTTCATGTCTCCTGCAAAAAAAGTTGGAAAGCAGCTGGGAGAGGCTGTGCAGGCAGGAGTGCAAACCCAGCTCTCCCATGGACTCGCTCTCCTCAGCTGTACAAGCCTTTGCCCTGATCCAGCCTGCAGTTTTCCATGCACAGAACATTCCCAGGTGAATCAGCGTGGCCCTCCGAGATCCTCAGGGGGAGTGTGCTCGGTACAATTACTCATGGATGGCAAAATATTTGAGAGTCAACGATAACAGTTTCATGGCAGCCTGCTCTCTGCTATCTAGAAACAGCTCTGGAGATTTAATCTGAGATGTTCAACAGCACTGACTGTGAAAACTGAGCTGCCTCTCTGGGCTGAGCTGCAGGACTTTGCCACAGCGCTGTTTAGCAGCAGAACAAGCTGTTGCCCCCATCAGCTCTGAGATCTCCCTCTATCTCCTCACCATCTGCACCTCAACCACCATCCAGCTCCGTGCCCTCTCCCCCAGCCTGGCTGCATTTCTGCTCTGCTCCAGCCTGCCCTCGCTTCCTGCCTTCCTCCCGACCTGCTCCTCAAAGCTTTCTCTCTTCCCAATCTCGGGTCTTTATCTCCTTTCCATGCAATTCCCTGCTCCTGCTACAACCTCCAGCTTGCCACGTGCTCTCCCCACCTCCCCTGCCTCTCCTGTAGCCATCTGCTCCCTGACCAACTCTCTCCCCGGGAATCGGGTTCATTCATTGCGTTCCAGAGCCAACAACTGCACATCCAAACGATGGGAATGCTGATAGTGCTAATGGATGATCACAATCAGCATCCACACACCTGAACAGGACTCCAGGAGGATCTTCAAGGCCTGCAGTTTCTACCTTTGAAACCCACGGTGTGGGGTGGTGGTGGGGGGGGGGTGATGCAATCTGAAGGCAGGAGCTAAAGGGAAGAAAAGCCAGGAGAGAGAGGGAGGAAATAAAAGTTCCCAGTCACTAAAATAGAACAGGAAGGAAAAGGTAATCTGCTGGTTTCTTGGATGCAGGAGCTGCACTCAGGGTTCAAGTGCAGCATGTTGATGAGGCAACATTCAGAGGCCTTGAGGGAGATCCCTAGGTCCTGGTGAAGGTGTCTGAGTCACCACCATCCACCCCAAAACTTGGAACCTGAGATGTGCAGCTGGAACAGTTTCCATGCACATCACTTCTCCTGCACAGTCGTTCCTTCTCCTCCTCCAAGCTTCCCACCTCTTTTTCCTCCCTGCACAGGCAGACTTTGACCCGTCTTCGCCCCTTCCTCTCCTGCCAGGTCAGACACAGCATCCTCCAAGTTCTACCCACTGCAGGTCAACAGGGGGGACCAGGAGCATCTCAGCCAGGAATTCTGTGACTGCAAATACTCCTGGAGACTGACACTAACTCAGGGGTAACTCAGGGTGTCTCAGTCTGAGAGAACTGCCCCGGGCTGCCTGGGTAGACAGTGAGGAGCAATAGGCACCTCCAGAGGCCATTCATCCCACCTATCTCAGACACCCATCTCCAGCTGAGATGAATGGCCCTCTGGAGATGACTATTCCTCTTAATTGACTCCCAAGGGACCCAGGGGCAACTAGTTCGGGCTTAGATGTCCAAGAGTGAGATATTTAAAAGTGGGCGAGGTGATTTCTGCTCCCAGTGGTTATGTAAATGGGAGCTGGATACACAAATCTCTTCAAGGCTTCAGCAGGACCAGCCAGTGTTTGTGCACAGATTTATTTGCAAACAAATCTGGTCTTTTTCTATTTCACTTCATGTAAAATTAAAGTGTTTCCAGCTGCAAGGCAAGGTTTGGGTGTGATAGGGATAACAACTTTCAGTTAAATCAGTAACTTTGCTGCAAATATTTTAAAAATAGACTCGGTTTCCTCCCAGTTTCTGTCAACATCAGGACTCACACTGCAGCAGTCATTTCTCTCCTGAAAGGAACGGGCTGTTCAAACACTCTGCATTTAAGATTTTATCTTTTCTAGCTCCAGGAGATAAAAAGAAAGAAAAGTGTAAGTGGCAGCAGATTCTCTCCTGCTGTAAACTGCCAGAACTCCACTAATTTTTAATGGAGCTTCAGCCCAGCCAACAACTTGCCTCTTGCTACACCAGCCAGACGCAGTGGGATCCAAAATCTCCAGCATCTGCAAGATGCAGTCCTGCCCTCCTCGAATTGCATCAAACCGGGGAAGCCCTGAGATTTAAACCGGGGAAAAGGCTGCCCTGAGCTCCTGCCCTACAATTCCCAGGAGCTTCCCCCACAAACAGGGCTCCTTCTGGGTGTTCCGGACAGGAGGGGGGAGGGATGGGGAGTGGAAAGGCAGCGATAAGCTCGGCTTAGCAGGGCAGACTAGGACCGCGCAGCTCTCCTTGGTTCACCTGGCGGCTGTTTTGCATAGCACTGGCATCAGATCTGGTGCGAGTTTGCCTGGGGAGGTTTCTCTGGGGATGGGAGAAGCAGAACAGTTCCGGACAACTTACACCCCCCCACTCCCCACTATCTGCCTGTTCTCCCCCTCCCCTCTCCCCCCCCCAAATCCTGGGACGTGGCGTTTGCTCTGGAAAAGCAGGGAGACGGGAGTTCTGTCAGGAGCAGCACGATTCCCCCTGGGAGCTGCGGAGCCAGTCAGGCACTCGGGGATGAAAGCACCGTAAATGGGGAGAGAAGGAAAATCCAGATTGCAGCGCTCCTTCATCTTCTCCAGGCTGTGTTACCACCCAGCCATACCAGCAGCGCTGCGACCCGAGGGATCACCTCGTTCCCCTCCCCACCGCACTTAATTCACCCCACGGTTTGATCTTGGAAGGGCCGGGGGAATTAGGAGGTGATTTCAATCTCTTAACAGGTGTTGGGGAATTCCCACAGGGAATCAGTTTTCTGCTGCAGCGCATTTGGGAGGGAAATTCGGAACAGCTGAACGGGAGATGGGGGGAGGAAAAGTGCCAGGCAGGCACCAGGCAGGGGGTTCGGCTGCCTGGGCTCAGATGTCTAACTTTTAGGTGTCTAATTGTGAGCCAATTGCTCTAGGCTCCCTTTACAGCCACGGAGAGAGAGGAAGCAGGCGCTTCCAGAGGGCAATTCATCTCACCCCCGAGATAGAGAGGTGGGGAGATGAATCACCTTCTGGAGACACCTCTTTCCATCAGAGACTGCACAAGGAGCCCGGGGTGAGCAGGTCAGGCTCCAGCCTCAGAGTATCGAATATCTGAAATTAAGATTAATCTCACCCATCCTGAGGATTTTAGCACCCCAGCTGATAAAGCACAGTGCCACTGGAGATTGGCAGAGCAGGCAGGACGCAGGGAGCCTTTCAACGTGCTTTTTTCTCTAGAGGCTGAGAAATTAAGCTTGTTTAAATCTCTCACCTCAAACAACACGTGAAGTTAAAAGATTTACCCGAGTGCTGGTAAAGAATTAAGAGTGGCAACAATTACACAGCTATAAACAGTACTCGACCCACACGCTGTAAAGGCTGCAAAAATGCTCACCTGCACAGAGAAGGATGTGGTTCTGTTAAACAAACAAGATATTCAGCATCAAATACCCTTCTCAGGATTTCAGTTGACTCTGGAGACTCGAGCAAACACCAAGTCCCAGCCCTCGTGCTGCTGTTCCCAGAGCCCTGGGTGGTGGGAGCCCACTTAAATTACCTTTTCTGCATCCAGTGGTTACCCCTGATTCCCTCCAGCCGTGCCCACCAGCCCTGGGGAGCAGAGACTGCAGCTGAGCAGTTCCCTGGATCCTGCTGGGATGCTTGCTGCTCCCAAGGCACTCAAAAAGTGCTTTTTAAAGGGAGCAGGGCAAAGTGCGAGGAGGATGGGGAGTTTTTGAGGCTCTGGAGGCACAAACAGCCCAAACCATCGGAGCATCTCCATGGGAAAGTGAAGGCTGGTTAGCAAAAGTGAATCTGTGCTGACTCAGACAGGTACAGACTCCAGGGGAAGCTTTCACTGAGCACTCAAGTGTTTCATTTGGGTGGAAACCCCCGGGTTATAAAAACGCCTTCCCTTTGTCAGCGGTGCCTCAGAGAAACCCCATCCCCACGTCCCCCTGTGATGTTCCCTTCG